TTTAAGTGATTTATGTCTGCAGAAGGCACTCAGAAATTGAGATTTGTCAATTGTAGAAGCTAAAGCTGAGTTGGAAACGTGAGGGGGAAAAGGAAAGAGGGAAAAAATCGGAGAAAAAATTAAATTAAATGAGATTCTTGCTAAAATGGTTCATTCCTTCTTCTTGCTTTCATTTTTCTGTCCGAAAAAAACGTGAGCGGAGACTTGAAGAAAAATACTAGAAGACATGGACAAAGCTGCTTGAGTTTCTGGCTTGGATGGCAACTTGAATATATCGCTAAGATCATATAGTGGTTTAGAAAAATAAAATAGTTTATATGGTTAGTTTGAAAAAATGTGGTAGTATGAGGGGATGATAGTTTTACCCCAATATAAATGTAAATTTCAAATTTTTTATTGTGTAACTTCTTAACTTTTGTGTTCTTAACTTTTTGCTTAAGTTTCATATAAGTTAAATTCAGTATGATTTCATTGCTTGATAATTATTTTTTCCTTTCCTTGTTAAGTGAAGGAAATAGAATTAAAATCAAACAAAAAATGTTTGAAGGATTGGTGAGGCAGTTGATACTGGGATATCTGGGTAAATACATTAAAGACATCCAAAAGGAGCAGCTTAAAATTACTCTTTGGAATGGTAAATGGTTTTTCTTTGCTTTCTCTTCTTTGACATATTTTCCACAGTTGCATACCATTTCTCTTTCCATTTTAAATATTTGAGTGATTGTGGATATATGTCACCATTATAAATGAGCAAATTGTAGTTAAATCTGCAGTCAGAGGTATTTTTATTTATTTATTTTTTTTTTCTCCGACTTATCGTTGCAGAGGAAGTGTTACTGGAAAATGTGGAGCTGATTCTCGAAGCCTTTGACTACCTCCAGTTGCCATTTACTTTTCGAAAAGGTAGAAACCTGTGTGCTTTTCGATGTTTACAAGGATATATGTTGTTATGAGTCTTGAATCGGAACACAAAATAAGCAATATAAAGTAGTCCAGTAACACCAACAATTAAAGTAGTCCACCATTCCCCCACAAAAGTCCTTTTATGTGTGTGTATTACTTTTTAGTAGTCCAGTAATACCTGCAATTAAACCAGTCCTGCCTTTTGAGCTTCTTTCTAGTGACTCGATTAGTCTGATCACTTGTATGGTGTTAAAAAAATTGCTTTTTGGGACCGCTGCATTTGCAATTGAAACTGAGGTACCTTTTTCTGAGGCCTGTTTTTGTAGTTTGATTTCTATGAGTTTTATCTGTAGGATGTTTCTGTAAATGATTGTCTGGCCATGTATAAGATTTATTATGATGGGTTCAATACTGGATAGATGTGGTTTACAATGTGGTAGTGGATGTGGATGTTTAAGTTACGGATTGCAATTAGAACAGAGGTTTGATTTTAAGAGAAAATGAGATGCTACTAGTTCTGGGTAATAGACGAAAGGTGAACAGAAAAGTGAGAGAGCTTTAGGATATCAACGGCCAAGAACAAGAATCTTTAACACCTTAAGATCCATGCTGATCTTGTAAAAGAAGTAGTGGCATCTGATATGTACACCTTTGAGATGTATGAGGGGTGACTGAGCAGTGGAGGAAAATAAAGGTAGGAGTAATGGTTATCCGGTTCCACATCATACAACAACTACAACATACCCAGTATATTCCCAAACAGGTTGGGGTCTGGGAGTCAGTTGTACGCAGACCTTACCCTTGTAATTATACAAGGAGACTATTTCCGTAGCGACCCATGGTGCATTGCGTCGCTTGGTATATTTTTTCTAGAGACTTCACTAATTGAAGAAGCACTAGAATTTAATTGAGTCATTTTGATCTAGTCCATTATTAGCACTCTTCCAGCTCCATTAGCTCCATTTGCAATGGACAAAACCAGTTCCATAGGATACTGGAGTCAAAATCTTGGTGGTTTCAGGAGGGACAAGATGACTTCCTCAACATGGAAGACCAGCGGAAATTGCAAGGGAACAGGTGAAAGGTTTGGTTGGTTTGCTAGTAATGGCGGAACAGACCATTAATGCCACAATTTTATAATGTGGCAGACTGTTTCGGTTGGCTAGTTTTGCACCTATCAGAGATGCAAATATGATTTGGAAAATTTATATGGAAGGGTGAAAGTTCTTTCACATAGATCCTATCATTTTGCATAAACAGAGGTGGTCTCATTGCTTCTAGCCATCTTTAAGTGTCTTATGGAACTTGGGCCACTGTAATAGATTTTGTTCTCATTTAAAACTTGATTAACATTAATATTTATGGTTCTCATTTTTAAGTTGTTTTGCCAATGAATTTATATTGTCTTGCGCCTCTTATCTTTGTTGCTTTCTTTCGTAGGTCAGGTTGGGAAGTTAAGCATCAAAATTCCCTGGAAGAAACTTGGCTGGGATCCTGTTATAATCATTTTAGAAGATGTATTTATCTGTGTCTCTCAGCGAGTTGATAAAGAGGTAACTCCGTTTCAGGATTTGTTTTTAAATTCATGTACGTGCGCGCACACCACATACACGCATATATAGGGTTCCAAATCCCTGATCACCCACGCAAAAGTGGCGAGGTGAGGCAATAGAATAAGTGAGATAGTCTCTGGAAATTTGTAGCACTTATGTCTCAGTTAGCAATAATTTGCAGCCAATGAGTATGCTAAGTTAAAGTTCAGGAAAAAGAAAATCAAGAATAATAAAGATTGTCCTTTGTCATCAATCAAAACCTATTATTAAGGCGGCTACATCACTCTAAGAGGAAGAAAATAATGTACAAGGAATTTTCTTGCTGTGACAGCTCATGTTGAACTATGTAAGGATAGCTCAATGAGGTAACAGGTCTAGGAATAGGGCTGGACCACGGGTTTATAGTGAATTCTATGCTCAGCTCATGTTGACTTCTCAAACCAGCCCCCATGCTATCCCTGGCATATGGCATGGTAGCTGTCGAGATGATATCAGTTTCTTTTCCCTTTTATTTAAATTTACTAAACACATAGTGATGGATAGTGAATGATGTTTATAACATAGTTGTGTTCAATTTACCGATGAAAGCTATATTTAGTGTTCTGTTTTCATTTTTTATTCTTCCCCTATGGGTGGATAGTGGTCTGTGGATGCCATTGACAGAAGACAGCATGCTAGCAAAAAGGCTCAACTTGCTGCAGCAGAACTTGCAAAGTTATCAAGGAGAGTATGTGGTGAGCATTTTGCTAATCATTATTTTCTGGCGTGGCTTATGGAATCTATTTCGTTTGAGTATCATCTATGTATTGAACGTCACATTTGTCTTGGTAATGGTGATGCAACTGATCAAGCAATACTGGCTGCTAGTATTGATTTTGTCGTAAACTTTATAATCATCAACCATCATCATTTACTCAAATGCTTGCCTGCACCATTGCCATCTGTCATACTTGAATATAGAAGCTCATTGTTTATAAGCATAATATATAAAATGATATGTTGAATTTGATTTTTCTATTAGTAACAGTGGTGCAGTCTACTAATCTTTGCTTATACTTGGATCTATGGCCATCTCTTCTGTGTTTCTTTCTTTTGTCTAACTAAAAGATTGTTTCTTTTGTTTGTTTGAGCCAGCCCTTTCTTCCAAAAACCATTTAAATTAATGTATATTTTGGTTTTATGACCAGAACTCTGTCACACTGAATTGTGTATAGGTGGATATAAATTGTTTTGGTAGTCTACCCAAGTTACATGGCATCATGAATATTATATTATTCTTTTTCGTGTTCTGTCTCACATTCCTCTTTTTGATCCTGGCCGGTAATGCAGTAATGCATATGAAGTGCACGGCTGATTTTAGCATCATTTTTCTTAATCTTTTTTAAATATGAGTTGTTAATAGGTTTTGGTTCAGTGAATGGGTGGGATTTTTCTTTCTGGTTGATCATGAATGGTCTTTTTTTTTTTTTTTTTTTTTTTTTTTTTTTTTTTTTTTTTTTTTTTTTTTTTTTTTTTTTTTCCAGGGAATCAGGCTGGAAAATCTTTTATTTCATACATCACTGCAAAGGTAATGTTGTCACTTGTCTTTCACCCATTCCCTGTTCATTCTGAAGTTGCTTCTCCAACTCTCTGCATTTGATGATATCATCTGTAGTTGGTTCTCCAATTCACTGCATTCAATTATGTCCATTTGAGTTTCTTTAAGTGTGGATTAGTCCTCCAACCTCGTTCTAGACTGTTTTACAGTTTTCATCACAGATTCAGTACTTTTTAGTCGCGCTCCCTTATGCTCCGTTCACTGCTCGACAGATTCTCTTACCTCCTGTCTAATAACTACTATGAGTAACCTCAACTAGTACAACACCCGTGTATTACACGGGTGCTTGTTAAAAAATTATTCTGAAATTTTAAAATTAATGAGAAAATTTATTTTAAATTTTATTTACTTTTTTACAAAAAATATATATTATTATATAGTTTAGAATGACATTGATAAATAATTTTATTTTTTAATTAATATTTAAAAACAATATAATTGATGTTATACATACAATATGATGTTAAATCGAAGCACATCAAGAGATGATTAATTTGATATATTATATATGTAAAACTAATAAACAATATAAAAGTTATTAAATTTTTAAAATTCACTTACAAATCAATGGTTATAATAGTAAATGATATTAAAAATTAAAATATAATTAATACATATAACATGACTATAAATAATCAAAATATTTATGGATAATCCGGAAAGAATTAAAGGAAGCAAATCAAAAGTCGGGGATATATTAGTCACTTAGTGCGCATTATGTAAAATTACAAAAAATTAATGGGTTATATTAGTACAAGTGATATTAAAATACCTAAGTTAGCTAAATAATATTTATGGAATGTCCGAACCTAGATTATTAATTATTAATATATCAATATTATTTGTCCAAACCTAATTGCGAAACATGATTCTTCGCCAAGTAGGATTCTGAAGTACCAAAAACAGCCAGTAGGCTTAGTGCATTCGGGAATTATATATAAGGGGATTCGCAAAATTAGCACTCCACGAGGAGTTGCCTAAAGTAACATTTTATTTAAGCAATGGCTTTTGTACATTTTTGTTGAGCCTTGAATGAGTATAAAATACATTATTATTATTATTATTATTATTATTATTATTATTATTATTATTATTATTATTATTATTATTATTATTATTATTATTATTATTATTATTATTATTATTATTGTGATCTTCTACAAACAGAATAAACTAAAAGCTTGTGTGGTTGATTACTTTATTTGTTACCCCATTCTTATTCTCTCCATCTTCTCTGTTTTTTCTCCAAGATTCTTGATAGCATTCAAGTGTCCATCCGGAATGTTCATATCCTCTACCGAGACACACTTAGTGCAACGGTATGATTTGTTCTGAAAAACTCGATGGTTAATATTATTTGCTCAATCGTCCATTTTTACTTAGAATTATCTGCATAAAAATGTACATTTGCTACAAGATTTTATATTTTGTAAGCATTTTACTCTCTTACGTTTTTATTTTATTATTTTTTTTTTCAACAATACTCTTTCTTACTTGGTAGGAGCAGATAAATGCAATTATAATTAATAGCTAACCGCGGTTCATGGATGCCCTTGTTTAATGCTTTACAGCTTAGGGTCGTATATTTTAGAATCTGGCAGCCATTTAGAATTTTAGAATACTGGAAATGTTTTTGACAAATTACTCTGCGGATGGGCATATTGTTAAGCTGAATAGTCGTGCCATAGAAGTGGATATAATTTACTTTACAGCATCTGAAAGTGTCTCAAAACTCTAGTCAATACTTTCCATTTGCAGCGTTACCAAGTATGGACTTTCTTTATGCCTATGGACTGTGGGCGTGTATAGAAAAGGAAGGTAAAAATGGAAATTATGTGAACAAAAAGAATAAACAAAATACGAGAAACCATCTATTTTGTCGTTCATCGCACAGTTTGGACACTTTGGTCCTCTGTCATTACATTGTTATATTCATGATTCTGGTTGATGAGATGAAGAGGCTGAAAATGGTTCCGACTTTATTTTGTACATAAGAAGCTTTGATTGAGGACTAAACTATAATGGTTGGGATTAATAGGCATAGACAAGCATTTCTGAAGCTTTTGCCTTTGAACGTCAAAAAAAGTATATCACAACAGTTGGTGCAAGTGTGATATATACATAATAAATTTTAATATTTTTCTAGATTGGATTTTAAGATTTTCTAGACTAAGTTAATAAATTTTGTTATCTTTTAATCTTTTATTATAGACTGTGATTGATTTTCAAGATCTTTCTGTTTTTGTGGATCCTGTAGGAAGTATCATACCACTATTTTAAATGAGTTTATTCATAGTTTTAAATGGCGAATGGCGAGGCAAGGCGAGGCGATTGGCCCATTGCCTTGCCACGAGGCGAGGCGAATCGCCATGGCGAGGCCTCGGCAACACAAGCCATTGAAGCTTATATATATATATA